TGACATTATTGAAACAGGTGACTTGTGTGATATACTGCAAGCTTGTGGAGCCGTAATTGTAGATGACCCAATAGCACTTGCTGCACAGCCAACAAAATACAAATTGATCATCAGATGCTCTGATGGTGACAATATACCTACTCCAGTGGAACTGGACATGTTCAATGGTAAATTAGTTTGATTCTTATTTGTCAGTTTGGAAAAATGGTTGTGATTCTAGATAGCAAAATAGATAGGCTAATTTTTTAGATAAGCTAAAAAAAAAAATGCTTATTTAAACTGAATTTAAAAAAAAAAAAATGTTAGGGTGAGAACATGACCTTTTCCTGTGTACCAGCATGTTGAGAAAATCCTGATATTATAAATTTGTAGAAACAAAGAGCTGTAGTGCCAAAGTAGATACCTAGTTTTATTGTTTTACAGTTTTCTATAACCAAATAAAAAATTTGTTTTTGTTCTACAATTCTAGTCTTGTTTGTTTCTTAACAAAGCTATTATTTTTTTCAAATATCACTAGCCTATAGTCTTTCTGGTAAAGTGCATGTTCTACTTTCAGGATTATATAAGCATATGAGACTAGTTACAGTCATGAGAGAATGGGTTTTGGACAGTCTGGGATATTACAAGCTCATTCCATTGGCTGATTATGTTCTCAATACTGCAGACCAAGTACAAGTGCCATTTTAATAATCCCAACATATTTGTAAAACTTCACTAGTGGTTTTATGGATATCTTGATATTATTGCTGTACATTTGCAACTGGTAATGATTATTATAACTTAACAATACTACCATAGTGAGGTAGAAATGATTTTTGTTTTCACAGAATTTTATTAATTTACTTTTTCATTATACAAATTAAACTTGTGATAGTAATATTAAATGAAACATTTTCATCAAACTGTTCTTTTTGTTTAATTTTTTTTTTGCAACTAGTACTTGTTGGACCTGTTGCAATACTGACAAAATGGGGTTCTGCATCTTGAGGAGCCTCAGTCTTGGGAGTCATCAACTCTGCCTATCTCATGTTGACCCACTATAAGCAACTCCCTAACTTCTTTTGTCAAGCTCCCTTTAAGTTTTTAGGAAGCCAATTATTTTCACAGTTAGGTATACAATTAAAATTAACCTCTTGTACTGAGAAAATGCCAAATTTTGATGGCAGGATAGTCTGGTCATAGTACATGATATAAACACCCATACATTTTTGCTAATAATTACCTTGTAAAATTAAGAAATCTACATGAACTGGAGACATTTTTTTTGCCCCTCAGACTAGATTTATAGATTTACTAAAATTTGCCATGGTTTACTTTTCTTATTACAAAAAAAGTTGCCTGAGTGTACTCTTTTTTAATATATTGCAGTTCAGCAAAATAAATGATAAAATAAGAATAAAACAAAATTTGGAAAAAATTATGAAAATTTTAATGAAGCCCCAGAAAATTTTTTTTTTTTTTTGGTTTAAGCCATGGCTATGAACTAGGTGTAAGAGATACACATAAATATTAAGCAAGTACACAATTTCAGTTGGTGTAAGACCTTTGTTGTTTGTTTTTTTTTAAAGTTTCTTTTAAGATCTCTCTCATTAGAACATCAATTGAATGAAGGACAATCAATTACATTTATAAATAAATGACATCATCCATGAGCGAAACAAAACTTTTAATTGAAAGGTCAGGAAGATACATAGATCAAATTTCTATTGTCTGAAATTATGCTTTAGGACAAGACTGGATTAAGACCAGCTTATGTGTAACATTTATTCCAACAGACCAGATGGAGAGAAGCAGAGAAGCATCTTTAATTGTATAAATAAAAAAATTGAAAAAAAAAAAAAATAAATACACAGCACGAATTTTGTAAAAATAGAAATAAATACACAGTATTCATGGGCCTTTTTATTGTGAGGTTCTTATGTTCACAGAAATTTTTTTATCAAGGCATACTGAACTATAGCTACCATCAGTTAGCAAAATAAGATAATGTTATACCTGGATTCGCTCAAAAAAAAAAAAATAAACAAAGTTCTCAAATGTACAAAATAGTAATATAATTATAGAAATTGTATAGTTCAATTTATTGTTAAAAAAAAAATCCAAGTGAACATTGCATTGGGTGTATATTTTTTTTTTCTAGCCACTGCGAAAATAAGCTGTTTTAAGTATGAGTAGTGATGAGGTGGTGAAACTAGTCAGGGTTTGATGTATTCTACCAGGTTTGCCTAACATAGATCAGCTAGGAGGTTGGTTTAACAGTTGGCAATGTGCAAGGTGGTAACTTAGTGTGACTGGCTGTCCCCTTCTACTTGGTGTTACTTTCTGAGAGGGGGCTCGGACGTGTGTTGACAGACTGGCATGTTGAAGTTGTTACAAGTCATAGATCCATGTGGAGCAAATTGCCTGGTAAAATCACCAACATTCTGACCCAGGGGTTCTCATTGCAAGATTCCAGCATCGTAAAGATCACCCAAGAAGAGGTGAAATTACTAAAATGTTGTTCATTTTGACAATGAATATATATATAATTGCTAAAAATATTCAACCCCCATGAGTTTAAAAAAAATGGTGGCGTGGCTAAAACATGGTGTTGGAAATCTTTAAACAGGACAGGAAGAGCAATTTATATATCAGATAAGAGTACAAGTTGGACAGCTCTTATCTTTCTGAGTGCTTAGAATTAAATCAATGACAAAGCCCGGTCATTCGTCTCCCTGTGCCAGGTGATCACTGAGAAAAGATTTCTTAGAAATATCAGCAGCATGTTTTAGCCAAATAGAAATTTTTTGTTTTTTTAGAGCAGTAACGTTCTTTGTACAAATATGAAAGGTGCAAGCAAGAAACAATTTATACAATGTCTGTTTGGTCTTCCTGATAGAATTCGGTTAACCACATATTTCCTCATCATACACACACACAAATTTCTTCAAGTATTTGGTAAAAAATTACTAGATTACTTGGCTTACAATTCCAAAAAAATGGGCAGAAAAAAAGAGTTGTTAACAAGCTATCGAGAAAGTGGACAACGTTGCCTAAATGCCTTTTGAAACTCTGGCAACAGACCGAGCCTATCACAATACATTTAATAAACTGCGACAATGAGTGAAATGATGAGGAAGCTCTTTTATCAACGTTGTCAATAAGGCAATAGGAGGCTCAGTAGCCAGCCAGCTCGGCAAACGTGGAATCCAGCTCATCCGAAATTGACTTGTACCTCTCTTTCTCTGCCAGCAGCTCATCTGAAAAATGTGAACAAAGTGTTGTAAAAACAAAGCACTTTTTAACCTGTGATACTTAAATCTAAATTAAGTTAAAACAACTTAATTTCACGTGAATCTCATTTTTAGAAAAGATTTGGTTAAAACAAGAAAAAAAAAGGTTAGTAAAGTCCACCTGTTATGAACACTAAAGATTTTCCAGATCATTGATGCACTGATCCATTTCCATTCGCAACGCAGCATTCTGCTCACGTGACTGTTCTAATTCATCTGCAAACACAGCAAACCATGCCACAACACATGCGTTAGTACATGTCAAAAAAATGCAACACGTCATATTACAGTAGTCTTTTGCTATTTTCATTTATAAAACTAAAAGCTTCAGGATTTAGACTATCAGTACTTTAATTAAAAGATGAACAATGTCTACTATGTAAAATAAATAAGTAAGAAAAAAATATATATGAAGTGCTGACTACTTGAATAAAAATGTGTTAAAAACCCTAGCCAGTTATATTTAGGATGATTAAACAAGCTTCCATTGCATTTAGCTTTAGCTTACTTTTTCTAGTAAAGAGTATTTAAGAAATATTAACTATGTAATATGTATGGTACCTTAGAGTTTGGTTTTAATATTAAAAGAGGTTTTTTTTTTTTTTTTTTTTTTTTTTAGAATATTTAAGCCTTATTTAAGATTCTAAATAAATTTTCCATTGAATCAACAGTGTATTTATTTTCATATTTGAATGGGGAACAAATGTACCTTCCATTCTTTCTTTACTTTTTTGTAGGGATATCACTTCTCTTTCAGCAAATTCTGCTCTGCTTTCTGCCTGAATTAATGTATGGAACACATGCGTTTAATAAGTTTTAGTGGGCAGATAAAAGCCATGCAGTACAATTGGCCAATTGGTAACAGAAGCAAGAAAAAAAAAAAAAAAGTTAACCACATAGGATTAGCACAGTTATTTAAATATAAATAAACAAAATTATTCCCAGTACAGGTATACAGAATGGAATAATGCATGTTTTCATTTTTATTTAATTACTGTGCTAACCCTCCTTAGGAGAAAAAAAAAAGTAAAAAAAAAAATACAGCATATTTTCCATTTCTTCCAGGTGGCCTTGTTGTCTGTAAAAAATGGGTTAGTGTTTTTATTGAATAAGGAATACAAGCATGATCAATGCTGTTGATCTCGACATCCAGCTCAAGAATGTGAGTACAAGTATTATTTCTATGACATGGCTGCAATGGTATAGTTGTGTAACATTTAATTGAAGAACAATATAACCAATTTTACTTCCAATAGAAGAAAACCACACACTTTAGCTTGTTATGTTGAACAAAAGTATGAAAAAAGTTTGCATACAGAAATCAATAAATAAGGGTCTTCAAATTTTGAACCATAGAAAAAGACAAATGATGAAGAAATATGTTAACATTTTTGTATTCTGTTATGAAAGACAAAGATACAATATCAATAATTTTGTCTAATAAATGTTACACAACTTTAGTTCTAGACTGTTAGCATGGAAATTTACAGTTAAATAAGTTGTATGATACTAATCAATACACTATATTGGTCTAGCGGGATGATCAATTTCTTTCTTAAAAGCATAACTTGTTTTAAAAAAGGTGAATATCATAAGAAACGCATGCACATGCTCCAATGTTGGTAACAGGCAGACAAGCTGAAATCTAAAAACTAAAGTCAATCAGGATCCATTAGTCTACCTTCCAATCTGTCCACCTCTTTCTGCAGTTTAGAGACAGTGCGCTCAGCTTCAGTGGCACGGTTTTCAGCCTGAATAATTAGGATTACATATAAATGAATATGACCAAAATTGAACCTAAGATAAAATATTTGAGGACAAAATATGAACTGAAAATTCAAGGAAACAAGTTAGTGAACATAAAATGATATTAACTTAAAACATTTTAAAAAATGTTTCAAATGAAATATCCTGCCACAGCTACAATAATTTAAGAAATTTATACCAAGCATCTTTCAAAATTGACATCAGCCAGCTGAAACTTGCTTACACAGCTACAAAATACTGTAGGAACAATCATGCCTTATACTTACATCCTTAAGCCTCTGTGTCAAGTCCCGAATTGTCTCCTCGTAGCTATCCTCTCTCTGGGAAGCCTGTGAATTATTTGATTAAACAGATTGTAGCATTGTGTAATTCTGAATAATTGCTATCTTGATCTAATAATGAATGATTACAATTAAATTTTATTAAATTTAATTTAGATGTACTTTCATTTGAATTTGTTTAACAATAAGCCCAAGTGTAGCCACTTGTTTAGTTGATATGAGGCCCGAAATGAAGAAGGGGAAAAAAAACAGGAAGAGGTTGTCTTTAAACAAAAGAGATTATCTTTTTTATTTTTGTAAGTCAACATTTATGAAAGATAGGTCAGTAATTGTGAAGAATTGCAAAATGTCACAAAAAGTTTATCACATATGGAGATGCCCTTTAATTAACTACATCTCACCCCCCCCCCCCCAAACTTATCGTCAAAAGTGGTTTTATTGAGCACTTAATGACTTAAAAGAAATATGTGAAGATCCCACAGAGAAGTAGCTCATCAATTCCGGTGATCACCAGAAAAATGTTAATTACAAGCACACAGGCAACAATAGTTCTTACAACACTTTTTGAAACAGCTTGAGAAGGAATACAAAGAAAATACAGTTTGTTTTTCCTAAAACATTATCTCCATTCTTTCTACCTAATGCAGCTGGTGAATCAATCATGGCATTAAGGCAATAGCTACATTACATAGAGAAGCTAGCCAAGAGAATGAACACCAAGATTCATAGATACAAATGAAATCTGTATAATAGACTAACGCAGGTCATGCCAGTTAATCTCTAGCAAGCAATTAAATAACTTTCAACTGATTGAAGTATGAAGACTAGTTTAATACTTTGCTGGAACTTACATAAAACAGAAATTATTTGGTTTAAAGATAGGATGTAATCTGAACAAGAAATATATATTTTTTAAATTTGAAAATCTACTCTAATCACACAAACACACACACGTTTGATGTGCTACTGCTCAACTAAAAGGTATTTTTAAAAAAAAGGGTGGATGGACCTGTGTTAGGAATGAAAAGAAATGATAATCCATTCAAGTACTATTTTATGAAAGAGAGGCTGACAGACTCATGCAGGAATCAGCCAGTTTCCACACATGTTAGTTGATAAGTGGCTCTTCACATATTTCAGGTTATATTTTTTTTGTTTGTTTATTTGGAGGGCCCAAAATATTTTTAGACCATGCACTGCTGCATTAAATTTCTTGTCTATCATTTAGAATTTGAAATCACGAGCCTTCATTAATAACCCAATTTCAAGTTAGTCATTTACTACAAGATTCTGAGAGTTCAACAAGTTTGCAAAAGTTGTTGTACTATGGTTTCTGCACAGATTAAACTAATGCGGAGGCACTGAATAGAAAATTTACAAGAGGAAAAAAAAATAGATTTATGTCACAGTTAGAAATTCTTTGGTATACGTGTTAAGACTTCCATTTTCAAAAATTAGCATAAAAACAGACCTCATTCAACTTTGAAGAAACACACAAATGGGCTTTAAAAAAGATGAAGAGAAAGATGAAAAAAAAATGAGACAAAGAAAAAAAAAAAGCTTAAAAAAAAACAACATAAAAAAATAAAATAAAAAAAAAAAAATAAATAAAAAAAAAAAAAAAAGGTAACCAGCATTGCATTGGTTTAATCCTGCCAACTCTTGCATTATCTGGGTTTCATTTTTGTTTCAAATAAAGAAGTGGGATGAGGAAGTGGAAGGAAAATGTTCCTAATTTCATATACATTTGCTAGATCAATTGGGATGAACTATGGCACGCGAACTACTCTATACATAATTATGAGGCTCTAGATTTTTGTACCAAAAACGTTTACTGCGCGTTTGAGAATCTGTCAAGTATCAAGCTCATCAAAATTACTTTTCCTAATAGCACCGCCCACTCATAAAAAAAAAATGTAGCTTTAAAAGGTACAGAGCAAAGAATCTGACGACTCATTTTTGAATCTCCCATATCAACAGACACTAGGGTTCATGAATAAAATGAATACTGGCTGAATTGCTTTGAAAATTCTGTATCAGGCTTTGCTAATATCATTTTTAGCTTGACAGATTCTATGTATTCTGACATTTCTGCTAATTTCTATAGATTTAAAACATTTCCTGAAGATGGGTGAAGGTATATTTTGGGCTCTCTGATGCATGCAGGACACGCTTTTAGCCTTGCTTATATTAAATTTTTGGGCCAAGTTCAAATAAAGACTGACGGCACGAACTGACGGACACCATGCAGGTTTCCAGGAGGGAGCGAGCTTAAATTCTGCAGGTCTACCTCTTGTTCACTGATTTCCAAAGATTTCATATTGTTGCCCACAACCTTCAACTCTTCCTCCAATTCAATGATCTTCCTGCAAGAACAGAGCAAGTTAAATTATAGAACGAATGCTGGCAGAAAAAAACCGCAGGCCTGGCCCATTTAGAGGCCCCGGCTTACCTGATCATTTTGGATGGACAGGGTTTTGATATTGTTACCCACTATATGTAGCTCCTCATCAAGCTCCCAAACTTTGCTGGAAAGGGAAGAAAACAAAAAAGCTACCATATTTACTCTTGATTTTACAGAATAGTTCCCAGCTTAATTGAGCACTGTTTCATGCCTTTTAATTTACAGCAGCTTTTATGAGGTTAATTTTAGTATTCCAAAAAATGAAAAAATTTCACAACATTCAAATTATTTTTTTCTTTAAAAGATCAGAAATTGAAAGTTTTGAAAGCTGCTGCAAAAGTTGGATTTTTTTTTGTTTGTTGTTTGGAGTTAGAGCAAACGTGACCAAAATAATCCAAATAGAGACAATGTAACGTCTGATATTAATCGGATGACAATAGGCAGAACGGGCTCACAATTCAACATCACCATGCGAACAACCACCAGAGGAGAGAAAGATGGGCAACACAGTGGGCACTGCAACCCAACTCTGTCCAACCAAAGTCTAAATGTGAGTGGGCCAGGGCAGTCTGCAGTTTTTGGTTTTTAACTCACAGTGAAGCTTGATACATTCAGCTTTGTCCAGCAATCGCTGACTGACGACTCTAATATCTGGTCACTTTAAAAGTTTACAAATAAATATTTATGTATCCAACAATTTATCAAAATTTAAGCAAAAAAAAGGTAAAGTAACCAATATAAAGAGTCATCAGTCTCATAAAAGTCTTCAAGCATTCACATATCTGTGCAAAATGTTGCTGGAATTTAATTTTCTCCTGAATCAAATTGAAATACTGCGCTAAGTAGACTTTGAAAAATGCACAGATTTGCTACAATGCTTTAAAGCTGAGAGTGTTAAACAAGGGATGCAGCGATGATAGGAGTCTTGTCTAAACTACTCTTACCTTCTCCTCGCATCGCTCTAATGATCTAAGGTTATTGGTTAGAGCATGGACTTCAGCCTCTAGTGCTTTCACTTTCCTGCAAAATTCAACAGCAATCACAAAACATGCGGTTAATGGACATGCCTCATGGCTTAGGCCATGAGTAATAGTCACACATCTTCTAGTTTACTATTATATTAATTCAAACATGAAAGTTTGTTAAAAATTGTTAAAGGTTCTAAGACATTCTTTGTTTCATTACCAAAAACATTAACATTCCCATGCTACAGTGTAAACACCCACCCACTGTTCCCCATACATTAGACAAACAATTCAAAATTCTATAAACTTTTAACCATGCATTTTACTTGGTATACACCAAGCAGGTTATTTGAATGTGCTCCATTGAAATAGTAATGTGAATGTTGTCCATGTTATAATTTTACTAGGACATGCTCTAATTCAAATCCAACTTATGTAAAGAAAGATAAAAAAAAAAAAGGTTCACATACATCTCCACTAACACCACAGCTATGATGAACTTTGTACTATTTATTAAAGCTTTATTTAATTGTATAATTATGACCAATAATGTCCTCAATAAATGAATTGAACAAACTAAAAACCCTCTAATTAAAAGCTAGTCATACCTTTCTGCATTTTCTGCTCTTTCCTCTGCCTTTTCTAATTCATTTTCTAACACCACCAATTTGCGAGCAGCCTAAGTGACGTTTGGGGGAAGACATGCAACACTCCAAAATGGATTACACCCATTAAACATTATGTAACATATCAATCATCAATCCAACAGCAACCTGTCTTGTTTTCTAGAAACTTAATAGGTTTGCAAAAGAGGTAATAATTTTCCCTTTTCCTGCTCAGCAAAAAGCTTTTGCTGAAGACCAAAATAGAATGGATGAAAACTAAAACATTGCTGTTGTCTGATGAAACAAACCAAACAAACCAGCTGTTTTGTACTAAAACAAGCTGATTAAGGAGAGCGTGGTAGTTTTATCCCTTTATGTTACAAGTTAATGATAAATTTGACAATTCCATTGAATTTTACCACTCTCTCCCTATAAATTCTGTGGAGTTTTAAAGAAATCGAACTTTATATTTTCCAAAGTTCATTTTTTATGGGAAAAAACAAAACTCCACAAAATTATTGAAAAGCAATACAAGCAGCCCCACTACTTACGCCTCAGCGGCCTCCAAGCGGGCCTCAGCTCTCTCAAGATCCACCTCAGTGATAGCCAGCTTACGAGCAGCCTGTAGGATTAACACACCATACTCTGTCAACTAACTTGATCTAAATGTTTCCACCACTTCTAACCACATTTTATGTGTCTATGTTTGCAATTGTAATGGTGTGTAGGATGTGATCAAATAATGTTGCAGAACTAGTAATAAGTGTAGAATGGGCGTCTAATACAAAAATTACAATGAAAAATATCTTGACTTTAAAATGTTTAGCAATAACTAATTGCAACTCTCTAATAGTAAATTTAGTAACCTGTATGTCATGCTCTTTGTGATTCACTCATGCTTAGAATGTTATTCATGCTTTTTTCATTAAATTCCAAAAAAAAAGTGTTTAAGTACATCTCTTTTTTTTTTTTCAAACTCATGCTACAATATAACATAGGTGTGTTGCTTTTTTTTCTTTCTAACATATATTCTCTTAATTATCATGCACATTATATTCACTGATCATTACAACTAAAGTAACATGCTGACATCGTCACATGACGATGCTATCAGTAAGCTGGTTAGCAGAGAGGTGCATCTAGAACAAACAAATGGTTATTGCAATTATATGACATGATCTCAATTCAAATGTCAGTAATGTGGTAAACATGACAAATAATCTACTATTAAAACAAGTTATTAGGTATTAAAACAGGTTACAAAAGTTTACATTAAAAATGTTAACTATGGGCAAACATTTTTTCCCCATCTGTTTATAGATTTAGTTTCTGTATGCATCAAAATAAACTCAAGACAAAACAAGAAAGATGACATCTAAGAGGAATTCTAAGACAATGTAATATTCTACTACTTAATAGAGATGGAAATGTTCCAGAGAGTGCAGGAACACATCATCTAACCAAAAGAATTTTAAAGTAAGATGCCGAGCACAAATGAAAACCAAACAACTAGTCTCAGCAAAAGATCAATCAAAAGAACTTGAAATATTTGACATTCTGTGCAGGAAAATGTAACTGTTCAATTCATGTGATAAGAAATATGGCACATCGTCAATCATGTCATCTATGGTGGTTTAAACTGAAAATATTAAGTATCTGGGAACTGAACTAGGAATAAAAACTGGCTTCAGGACAGTGAATCTATTCAATGTCACCTCATCATATTTGCGATCAGTATCTTCTGCTATCCACTTGGCTTCTTCCAATTGCTTTTCAAGGAGGTCGAGCTTTTCTTCATCTCCCTGACTTCTGTTTTCCAATACCTTACGCCCTCTAGACAAAATAAGGAAGCAAGTGATAACACACACACTAATCATGGCTAGGAGTTGTCCTTTAAAACATAGCCAGCTGCTAGCCATGCAGCAAGGGCGCAACTAATCTGCACAAATTTCAGCCGCTGCTACTTTACTACAAGACAAACAGAGTGTGCAGATCCGCAGATATGTGAAATGATGTGCGCTGCAAAAGGATACAGAATTAGAGCTTAACTGCAGAATGCAATGCCAATAAGCCTTACTACAAAAAGCTCCTTTAGATAAAGCAGAAGTCTGTGCTTAGCAATCATAACAAAGCATTAGATATATTTTGCAAACCAAAACATGATGGTGTTATAATTCAAGACAAGTTACAATGGTTATTCATCTGCAAAATTTTAAGGCTTGTTGGTCAAAGAATGATTGTCAATAACTGCTAACATGCTGCAGTTCTTTAAGCCAGCCTTAGCATGGCAAGCCAATCACCTCATCATATTTTCGCTCAGCGTCTTCAGCAATGTATTTGGCTTCTTTCAGTTGAGCCTCTAGACCATCCAACCTCTCATCATCAGCTAAGCTTCTGCTTTCCAGCACTTTGCGACCTCTGATAATATTCAGGACAAAAAATAAATAATTTGCTAACTTAAAAAAAAAAAAAATTAAATCCACAATATTGTGGTTAAAATATGATGGCCCAATCAGCAAAAACTGGAGAGGTCTGAAATAAGAAGAAATAAAATTAGTCTTGTCAAGACAAGTCTTATCTTAAGTTCACTTTGGATTTATTACGTTGGAATATATTTGGTTTGATCCGATGGCCATTAAAATATTTGGAAAAAGGAATGCCTGAAGAAAACAAATCCAAAATGTACTGAAAGGCTTTCTGTGACATTGTCTTTTGACAACTAGTTGCCCCATTCAAAAACCTACCTCATCGTATCGTGCTTCTGATTCACTAGCTACCTGTCTGGCCTGTCTGAGTAGTGTTTCTGCTTCTTCCAATCTTTCATCCCCAGCATTTAATTTATTTTCTACTGTTCGACGCTGCCTGAACCCAAGGAAAGAAACAAAGCATGCCAACACATAGGAACACCATGCATTTGATATAAATAAACCAAGTTACAATTTTCTTTTTAGCGTCTAAACTTAACAAATTCCAGAAACTTTTGCAGTTTCAGAAACTGTAAAACAAAAAAGAAGTATGAAGCAAGACTTGACTTATTTTGAAACAAAGTACAAAATTAGCACCCCTTTTCACAACCAGTAATGTAGTAGTTATTAGCAATTTTAAAAATATTGTCAATAAGTAAATAAAAATATAAAAAATTAGCAAACAAATACAAATAATCTTAACTTGACAACTAAGTAATTTTGTGTGTGTGTGTGTGCTAAGCACAGGATTAACAGCTGTTTCTCTCAACCCCCAGCAGCTCTAAAAAAAAAAAAAAAAAAAAAAAAAAAAAAAAAAAAAAAAAAGGGGTGATATTTGAATAATTATATAACAAAAAACATTCATTAAAATTTGCTACTAATAATTACTCTTATGGTAAGTTTAATGCCAAAATGCATATTTAGTCAAAAGGAAAGCGCAAATTTGTTTATGTTGAGCACAGGTTTAACACTGCTAAGTACCTGTTGCTCGCAACCCCTGCAGTTACCCAATGAAGTTTTTAAGCATGCACAACTTTCATATTACTATGTAAATGACCAAAACTTCCAGAAGCTCTAAACAGCAAAGCTTTGGGAAATATTGAAAACTATGGAATTATATACAAGTTCTAAAAATCTAATCATGAAATTGTTAATACTGCCTAAGATTAGAATATACTAGTAGAGAGTGTCTCAGTTCTCACCTTTCACTTTCATCTGCTGCTTTAGATGCTTCTTCTAATTTTTCTGTGGCACTCTGAAGACGTTCCTCTGACCTTTCCAAGTCCTCTTCTAAAAGTTGGATACGCCTATTCAAACCAGCAGTATCACTTTCCAGCTGTAAAATTATTAATAAATTAAGTTAATATTATTTTATTTATATATAAAACTCTTAAGAAACTATATTTGCATATTTATGAAAAATTAGATAGATAAAAAAAAAACCCACTAAATTACTGATAGTAATTGAGAGACAAATGATCTAAAAAATATTTTGCATAAAATAGAAGAAGTTTACTTAAGATCTAAAAAAAAATTATTTTTTTTTTTTTAAATTAACAAAACTCAACAACAAATGTCAAAAGCTAAATAATACCAAAAATAGTATGAATTTCATAATATGAAAATACTATAAGTACATGAGCTTTCATTAAATTTGCACTTTAGAACATGTGAGTCATTTCTTTTTCCTTTATTTTAAAATTGCATATGGTTGGTTCATTTGTACAACAAATAGGTATTAACCTAAATAGCATTTTTTTTAAAATAAAAAAGACAAAACAAAAAAGTGAATATTATGGATATTTTCAATGAAATTTAACATTTTGCTAACATTTTTATAAATTGGAATACATACATTGGTATGATTTAAGCACTTTAAAAAATTCAATTCAACTGCATTGTTGTAATACCAAAACCTTGATGTACTTTTAATCAATATATTCCCTAATTGAATGCTCATTAAAAAAAAAGTGATATAGCCCATCTTATCTCATTTTATTATGCTTAAAAATGTGCCTGTGATAGTAAAACTTGTGACATGGGCATCATATGAAATCTAAGACCCAAAAAGTGAATTTTCAGGTTGTGAAACACTTATGCCTTGCAAAATGTTTGAAGAGCAAATTATGCTTAGAAGGACTTCAAACACAAGAAAATTGACTGCTTTCAACAGCTTTGTTACACACAGGAAGCATTATAGTCTGATGCTGATTCAGATTTCATGATTCTTTTGACATGAAAAAAATCATCCTACATTAGATAAATAGGGAATTTTAATGTTTATAAATGGATGCAACAAAAGGTTTATTGGGATGCCAACTGGCAATGTTTGCTTTATTAGTGGCTAGATTAGATAGCATATAAATTGTTCTGTGTTTTAACATTTTATTCAATTAAGCAGTCAGTTTTCAAATGAAGTCTGAAGCCCAGGTCAATGTTATAATCAGATGCTCAGAGGTGCAGTTAAAGAATAAGTACAGTTGTAGTTTATAATTATTTCATTAATTTTTTTTGGCTGATGAGATAAAAAAAATAATTTTTGGTAAATTTTTTTTTAAAACAACTTTTCCATACAATATAATAAAGAAACCTAGGAGAAATTGAACATGATGGTTACCACAGGCTTTCTGTGAATTCTTACAGCCAGATATTTGCATGCTTCTTTGAGATAGGGTGGTTTCCAGGTAGTTATAGGTGTAACAGAATTATAATGTTATCCCTTGTAGGTAAGGATCAATGTTATTACTTGTAGGTGTACAAGTTAATACATTTTCTTGTTTTTTGCTTTTAAGGATAAAGTGACTGCTGACTATTTAGCTAATACCAATAAAAATGTTTAATTACAATCAAGAAATAAGTAATTTCTATTTAAAACATATTGCAATCTTGTCATTTTCACAATATTTTTCTGGAACAAAAGTAGGTTTACACAGTATATCAAGCTTTTTTTTCCTGAAATATTTAATAAATATTTCAAAGTTAGCTTATTTCTTTTATTGATTTTATATTTATAAAAGTTTTAGGATTTTTTTTATGTTGTTGAAATTATTTAATAATCTCTTGTAGTTAGGTATTTCATTAGCAGAAAATAAAAGAAAAAAATGTGAGAATTTTAACCTATACAATTTTAAAATAGCATAAATTAAATTTTAGTTCATTATACAGCAAACTAGACACCTTTTATCAAGTACAAGGATAAGTTTTTAAAAAAAATGTACCCTATTCTACTTAGTGAAAGAAGGGAATAGCATTAAAAAAGAATGATAATACAACAATGTTACAATTTTACTGTCCCCCTCTTTTTTTTCTCTCCACAAAATTAATTTTATTTCTTAAAAAATGAGCATAACAACAGTCTAGTTTATTTCTTTATTTGGATTTTTTTAGACAGTTTATATTTGAGAAAATATGTCAGTAACATGTTATATAAATATTAGTATGGCAATAAAAAAAATTTTTTTTTATTCCTGCCAACTGTTTGAAGAATAATACAAAATACAATATTC